AAACTCTTTAGTCTCAGGTGGGTCAGTGGAAACCATCTCTAGTTCACCTTCTTCCCTTTGGTGGAGGACCTATGACTAGCCCTAGAGACGTACCCTTTTATGGTCTCCACAACTTCAATTGGGGGCTCCAACAAGTTTAATTTACCCATGAAGCCTCATAAGGCTTCAGATGCTCCAGCCACCAACGCAATAATGCCCTCACAAAAGCCTAAGAAAGTCAGAAATCCAAGGACGGCTTCTAACTCTATCCTTTGAGGCTCTGGACCAAGTTTTATATCACTGTCAAGTGTCTCCCACTCTTCATAGATCATTTTGTTGTTGTAAAGTGCCTTTGAGTCGGTTCTGACTCATAGGACACTGTATAAGGTTTCTGTGGCATTTAAAATTTTTGCGCGAGCAGTAAGCCTCATCTTTCCTGTCCTCCACCCTCCAGAGTGGCTAGCAGACTCGAACTGCAGACCTTGTGGTTCACAGTCCAATGCTTATTATATGGAACCACCATGATCCTTCACAGATCATGGATCTATCACAGATCAGACAAAACACATCAGTTCTCAGAACACAATCTTTCAGCCCCAAGGCCTTGTTGCTGTGGGTTAATGCGATGGACTACAAGGTCAGTCTGAATCACAAGGTCAGTGGTTCAAGCTTACCAGCCGCTCCTTAGAAACCCTATACAGGGTTGCTACAAGTCAGAACCAACTTGATGGTACTTAACAACAACAACATCAACAAGTTCCGTGAAGAGGAGGCATAGAAATAATTTGGTTGAGGTGGAAAGAGTTTAGCACCATTTAATTTCCCAGTTATTGGCATTTTAACTGTAAACATCCCTAACTGTGATCACTTTTTAAGGACTATTCCATGCAGGTCTACAGGCAAATAACTAAAACACAATGCTTCTCTAGTATCCCTAGAAATACTGCATGGATTACATTTCTACCCAGAGACCATCATTATCAATTATCTATCAGACCCCTAGTTTCTTACACTGAGAATTAACTGCCATACTCCCGTAGTCCATGACTGACTAAGCAATCCAGGTTTTTAGGGAGAGAGAAGACTGCAGTATGAAAGCACCCATTTCGAATGAAATGCAGGAAAGTGTGCCCTCTTCTGGATATGTACCCATGGGTTCAAATCCCAGCTTTGCCATAAGCACTACCTTTATAGTCATTTCCTCTCTCTTCACTTTTCTCATCTATAAACAAAGACACTAGACTACATGAGCTCTACATTCTCTCCAGTCTTTTTTTTTTTTTTAAACAATTTTCTCTGTTCCTTGATACCAGTTTTGAAAGGCTACTGGAACCTTCCTGCAAGGAGCCACAGTACTAATCTGATCATCTGCTAGAGTGAGCCTGCACTAGCTGAACCAAAAAGCAGTTTCTTGTAGAGGTGAAGCAAAGTGCCTGCCATCCAAGCTGCAAACTGGCATCAGACTATACAGACAGCTCAACTGGTGAAAAGAGACAAACTGTATACTAGTTATTAATGCTTATCAGCATAAAATGATACTGAAATACACAATGTGTGCTTCTCCCTATTATTTGCAAACACCATTAATTATCCCAGCAACACAGGATTAAAACGTTCCTCTTCAGTCTATCTCGTACTACAGGGCCAAAGGACAAAATCCTCTCCACTCAGTCACACAGTCACTTACAAAGACTACACACAGATTTTGTTATACAAACAGTAAAGATGCCCTCTTTCCCCAGCCACCCTAGCCTAGAAACAGTAGCAGCAGAAGCCCAACAGTGACACCTGCTGGAGAAACAGACACAAGGGCTAATTCATCAGCTGGGGACTGTTGGCCCCTGAGAAAGTAGCAGAAGAACCAGGTTCAGCACCCATTTGTTGGTGCTAATGATTTACACCAGAATGAAGTTATGACAAATTAGTGACCCTTCTTTAAAGGATGTGTAATTAGAGCATTTTACAACGTAGCTCATGATTTAGTCAATCAATGTTTGATGATTTATGATCACTTATGAACAGATCAAAAGACATAAACATCCCCAACCAAAGACAATGGTTTCCTAGGGAGAAGAATGGATTTAGTTAGGGTTCCAAGAGGGACTTTTGATTTCTCTGAATTAACATACTGTTTACAGTGAGAGCCATTATTTTTAATGAAAACAATACATATATATAAAAATTTGTTTAGAGCAAGATGAAAGGGACAATGAATTTTTAAATGCTTAAAACTTCCTTTTATACCTCAAATACATAATGCATTTTGTCACCCCAAAAAATAATGAAATGAGTACTTAAAAATTTGGGGTGAATCCTTACTGGCTTTTAATTTTAAATGGCCTGCTTTACTAAACAATCATTACTAATATTCTAGGTTTTAATATGGTAGCCACTAGCCAAATGTGGCTATTTAAATAAATTTATATAAGTTAAAAAATTTTAAATAGAAACAATTTCCCCTCAGATCAGTTTAACCCATTATTTCTAATGGCCTAAAAGCACATGTGGCTACAGGTGCCCAGATCTAGGCTATTTCTATCACCATCAAAGTTTCATCAGATAGCATTACTCTAGAGAAACATTCAAGTATAGGCAGATGGCGCTATAGGAGGTCTAGGTGGGAGGAGTGGAGAGTGGCTGTAGAAGAAAGGAGGCTGGGCTAGTGTCAGATTATAAATACATGGAAGTTCGTTCATTATACTTTTCTCTATATTTGAAGATTTCCATAATAAAATTTTAAGTAAAAGAAAAGAAATAAAAATGGTCCACTGACACACGGAGTTACTTCACTTGTAAGATGGGAAACTTACACAGTTTCTGAGGAAATCAGAAATGTTTAATGCAAAGCAAAAACAGAGTACATGTACTTGTCAGTAAGTGATGGGGTCCTTATATGGAGCAGTAGGATAAGCACTGGTCTTGGCTGAACTACAAGGTCAGAGGTTCAAATCCACCAGTCACTCGTCGGAAACCCTATACAGGGTCGTTATGAGTTGGAACCAAGAGACAACAGCACTCAACAACAAAAGTACGTGGTTTATTTTAAGCTACTTGGATGTTTCTCAGAACAACACGTGGGAAGAGATACTGCTAAAGCAAGAGGAACAGAAGCTGACCAGATGCCCAACGGTAACATGGAAACAGGAATTGGTAATCTTCTTAGAGAAAAAACTGCTTTCAAGGTATTACCGATAAGAAATTTTTGAGGTGAATGCCCATTATTATCCTTGCTACCTTCTCTCCTCTCTTGACAAGGGGGAAGGCCAGAGTTCCAAGCTCCTCACATGGACCACTGTGAAAGCAAAATACTCCGAAGCCTTTGTCTACTTTTCACATCCAAACAAATCTCACTGTTTCCCACCCCAACCCCTTAGTAATCACCTACTATCTTGCATAGAACTCCTGGTGCAGTGCTGTAGGATCACCAATGGACTGTGAAACACAAGGTCAGCAGTTCAAATGCACCAGCTGCTCCTCAGAAACCCTCCCTATACTGGGTCGCTATAAGTCAGAACCAACTCAACAGCACTTAAACAACATCTTGCACATCTTTCCTTTCCTCTCTTATATGTGCCAGTCTCCTAAAATTTTTTAAAAAAGCTTTCTAGCTTTCTAGATGGAATTTTATAAAGTCTTCTCTGAGGTCAGACTGCAGTGAATCTTAGTATCGTATCATGAAGGACCAGTTCATATCATATCATGGTGCAATGGCTAACTGCTTAACAGAAAGGTTGGTAATTCAATCCTACACAGCTGTTTCAAGGGAGAAAGCCCTGGCAATCTGCTCCTATGCAGATGACAGCCTCGAAACTCTAGGGTACACTTTTACTCTGTCACATGGGGTCGAAAATCAAATACAGAGAATGAAATGGACAACATCTAACACCACTGCCATTTAATGAAACATTGTGTCATTTTTTTCATATAATTTTTTGAAAGTCAGTCTTACCTTCACCATAGCATTGTATGTTTCCAGTAGGCAGAGACAATGTATTATACTTCTTTTGTATTCCCCACAGTGCCTAGCATACGGCTGAGAAAATCAGAACCATTCAAGAAATACTTATTGACTGAGTGACTATCTGCAGCATCCTCCCAAAATAACAAGTACATTATGTGCACAATCCATATTCCCATCCTTGTTAGTAGCTTATGTCAAAGAAATTTCAGTAGCTTCAAAAGAGGATGTAAGCAGAGCAATATGCTGTTTGGATCCAACAGGCATATTCTGGGAGTTGGTGATTACGCTAGATTTGACCTTTAGAGAATTACAGAAAGAAGTCCCTAATAAATCAAGAGAGATGAGCACACAGCCATACATGGAACATGTAGTAGGCGATCAACTACACCCACTGTATTTCTTCCATGAAAGAGCTGGCTGGGATGCCAATTCGAGCATGGAGAGGCCTTCCTTCCATGAATTACTCTTCTCCCCACCCCAAGGTGAACGAACGTCCATCTGCAAGGTCTTTTTAAAGAATCTTAATTGAACAACTTGCTATCCAAAAACATCTATCTCTAAGAAAATATGACTTTCCTTGATACATATGTATTCTTTCTTTTCTTTTTGTCAAGTTGTAATGCTCTAAAAGATAAGGTTTAAGAGGTGAACACAATTGTCTAAAGTGACACAATCGAAGAAAGCCAACATGCTAATCTGTCCCAAGCCAGGTTCTCTCTTACTATTTATTCTGAGGCACTCTGAATAATTTGTCTGTATAATCCCTCAAAGTCAAAACAAGGGCAGATGATTCCATTACCTCATGTCTGTCTACCCTAACCTATGCTCTCCTTTCAAGGCTATAGGTCAAATGAGCTTAGTCAGAGAGAGCTAGCAGAATCAACTGACTCTACTGCTAAGCCCTATCCTATCTCTGGCAGTAGAGCAACATTTTCCAAAAAGAAGAAACAGATGCATGGGTCCCAAACACTCCAGATACAGCCATATGTATCTAGAACTGAGAGAAGAGACAGGAGAAAAGTTAAGAAATGAGGGAAACAGCAAGAGAGCACCTGCTTACCTCCTGAGTGAATCTTCCTCTGAGCTCTCGTCAGGCATATCCTGATGTAAGGCCTCCTGTGAGAAAGTTCCAGATCGGCTGGACTGAGTGTAAATTCTCTCCCAGTGGCCCGTCTCCTGGTTAAAGGCCACTCCCACAGTTCTCTCTTCCTGCGGACTAGCAGAGCTGCTCAACTCCAGCCTGCTGGAGGTGGGTGTTCGATTCTCAGTCCGCTCAAGAGGTGGCAACTGGCTGCCACTTGATGGCATGCCCTCAAAGGTACTGGGGACCTGCCAGGAGGAGCTAGGCTCACTAGAGGAGTAGTTAGGTGTGGTTCTTTCCCAACGTAAGGTATCGTTGTTGAAGGTCAGGAGATTGTGACAAGCACGACAGCGATTCAGGTGGCCACGTGACAAATTGGAGTTGTTCTCACTGCTGTGTGGGGTGGGCTGGTGTGAGGGGCCTGGTCTCTCAGATTCAATGTTATTATTGAGCATTTCCTGGGCCTGTTGGGTCTGTGGAGCTTCCCCACTCAGGCTCTGGTCCAGCTCCTGAAGTCGGTCATATTCCAGGAAGAAGCGTCTCAGGTCACATTGAAGTTCATGGCGAATGCTGCCTGAGTTGTTTTGGCTGGAACCATTGCCTCCATCTGACTCAGTTGCCAACCCAGAAGCTGGAAAACCCCTCCCTTCTGTGGCTGAAGTGTACACAGATGCCTGAGAGCCACCTTCCTGCTGTCTCAGCACAGACAGCAAACTCACTGAAGAGGCACTGGTTCTAGGCGGGGGCATGGACTCAGCTTCAGAACGGGAGTTCAGACTGAGTACTGTTCGTGTCCACTCAGATCCTGTCAGCCCGGGAGCTAGTTCTCGGTGATACCTAGAAGGGTGGCTAGACAGAGAGCCTCCCAAAGAGCGCCGGGTGGGACCCAGACTGAGGTTGCGGAGCGTGTTGCCGGCGGTGCTGCTCTGGACTGTACTGAAGGCAGACGGCCGGTTCAGGAGGCCCTGGTCCTGCTGCGCTGACGAGGCCTGCTCCGGGGGATGGAAGGGCTCGGTCTGTACAAAAGAAAAGGAAGGGGTAGTAGCTCTGGCAGAAGCAGGGGGAACACTGTCCTGGTGTGGCAAGAGGGAAGGACCTCGAGTGCCAGAGCAGCGGCTACAAAGGCACAGGATCCCAAGGTGCTGGCAGCACTCAGCTGTGGGGTAACTGACCCGCTGTCGGAGCCTGATGTAAGCGGAAGTCCTGGGACGCTCCATTGTGGACTGAGGGGGAGGCGGTGGGGGTGAGGGGGTAGCAGAATCTTGCACCGTGCTTTGCTCTCCCACCTGGATGCCAGAGGAGCGGGAGGACAGCATGTGCAGGAAATTATGGAGGAGAGGTGTCCGACGAACTGGCTGTGATTGCAGGAGGGCGCGCTGGCGGTAATGGGATAATTCCGTCCCATCTATGGGGATCTCGGGTTCCTCATCACCCTGCAGCATGGGCCAGGTAGGGCAGGGGGACAGAGCAAAGTGGTTAGGTGGAACCTCCAAGTCATTCAAGAAGACTAGTTACTGGTAATCACCCAAGGAAAATCACCTTCATAGACAAAAGTTCTCGACGCCTAAGCACTAAGAAGTAATAGCTGGATCATGATAAGGAATCATCATATGCTATTAAATTATTCACTTTCAATTAGCAACACATCTGAATGAGTACAGCTGGTAAATCAACGCTCTACAACATGGAGGCAATAAGGAGAAGCAAAATGTCAACCAGTCAGAGACAAAGAATGACAAGCCCTCCAACAGGGCCTGGTTACTTCTAGAGAAGCATTGCTCAGGGGCTTCAGAATGGGCTCTATGGTAAGGTGATGGTTACAACAGCAAATACACAGTCTGAAGCTTGTTTTGGATCTTGACTGAAAGAAGAACTTGCACGCCGAGTCCGATATAATCAGAATTAGAGCATCAATTCAGAACGGAAGCCACAATTTACATGGAGGTGAAAATGCTGACTAACTTACCTGTTGATTAGAGGGGTTAACAATTGCTGTGAGTAAGTAGTGTCCAAGGGGATCAAATCTCACCAGACTGAAAACACAGGAGACGAAAGAGACAAACATACAAAGAGAAATTATATTAACCGAGAACAGGAAACTAGAACTCTAATTTTAATGATAATTGTGGGATTATCTAAACAGCTACTTTAAACTAAAGACTTTCCAAACTTTCAAAAAGATTAAAATAAAATAAAGCACAGTATCTCTCGTTATCGCTTTACACTTGCCAAAATAAGGAAATATTCATCAGTAAAATAATAATATCACTTTTGAAAAACACCCAGCCTTTCATTCCAGGAAAAAGCTACACCATAAGTGCCATTTGCCTCCTCTATGAGCCCATGATAATGATAAAGCAACAGAATACACCCGTGTTCTGCCACGGATTCCGTTCTCTCCTCGCTTAGCAGCTATGTTATTAAGAACCATGAGTTCTGGTGGCAGTACACACACAATCCCGGTGACATAGCCTATGTAGGCTACAAAATCAGCCTATATCCAACTGCAACAGCAAGTGCACCCAAAGAAGGCAATTTCTCAACTTTAATGTGTTTCAGGAAATATGTGTTTTGATTTTAAGGGTTCAATAAATTATCAACTAAAAGATTTGATATGTGCTTACACCTCCATCTTCCAGTTGAGAAACACAACACACATGAGCAATTACCCACCAACCTACTAAAACGCCACCTAAATATCTCTCAGGTTTCCCAGAGAGGGTTCTATCCTGAACCCAGAGAACTTTAAACCTAAAATCAATTCAATGATTCATATCTATAGAAAACCAGAGGATGAGGTCAGTAAGAAACATGTGAAATGAATAAAATTAACTGCTTCCTTACTTATTGGCCAGCTGCTTTGAAAGTAGGAGGAGTCAGAAGGATAACAATCTACCCTACCTAGTAATAACAAGCTCTCTATCATGCTGGTCCTATGCTAACATCACTGATGGGACACAGGAACTCACCGGACCCTTTCCATCTCACTAGCCGTCTTCACCACAGCAAAGGGCTCCCGACGACTCCAATCCCAGAAGTGGATCTCATTGGCAGTGGCAATCAGTAGGAGCTGAGCCGTAGGGTGGAAAGCCAGAGAGGCAATCGCGTTGTTGCTGTCTGTGAACCAGCTCTCACTGCCACCCTATGAGAGCAACCCAAATAATCCCATGTTTCAAGGAGCCAGAAGATGGGGTAAACAATTTCAAGAAAAGTCCATTTAAAGTAAAATGACCATTTGCAGGGTCCACTTTAAGTATGCCCCTTGTACAATGGATGTAAAAGAGCTGTGATGTGGTAGTGCTGCCCATTTATCATACAAATGTTTCTATCAGCTCAGTTCTCCATCCACAATCCACAAACATGAGGACCCCCTCAGTTCCTTATTCTGAAGCCTACAAACATGCAATCCTGGTGAACAGCATGGTGCATATCAACCCACTGGCCAGTCACCAGGAACAAAGCCCTTCCCCAGTAGATTATGAACATCTTGCTTTGATAAGCATGATCAGAGAACAGTACAATCCTTGCTTTAAGACAATAAAAAGCCACCTTGAACCTCCTCTGCTATGTTACAACAGGCAAATGGAGAAATAGTTATAGGGTGTTCATTTCAGAATGAAGGACTATGAGCTCGACTTCCTATCAGTTAAGTAATGACTATCATATACTCAGACACAGCCCTAAGATCTTGGCCAGTCTCTCCTCCAGTGTTAAGAATTCAATAGTAAACAAGCCTCTGCATTTAGAATACCAGAGAAAAGGGCAGACTGAGGAAATACTTACATGTAAATCCCAAATTCTAACCTCCCCATCAAGGCAGCCAGAAGCAATAAGTCCTGAGATGGTGGGATGAAAAGTAACACACCACGGTGTGCGGCGGTGCCCAATCAGTGAGTGAACACACTTGCCCGTCTTCACTTCCGTAATATAGATGTTATGGTTCACATGCGTGGAAGCCAGGAGAGTCCTAGGGAATCAGAGTAGGAAGTGAACTGAGAAGCATGTGGGAGGGCAACAAACTTTATCGGCTCCGGACAACACAGAAAGCTAATTCTATTATTCCCCATGCCAGCATGAGAAAAACTAAGCTTTCGGTATTAAGCAACATATCTATAAATACCAGAAACTCTCTGATCTTTAAAGTGTTTGGCTTCTCCATACTGTCCCCAAATAACTCACATGACCTTTAGAGAATATTTATTTTTTTTGCTGAGAAAATGAACACACCATTGGTGGGCTATGTCACATAGGCAAAGGATTGTTACTGAGAAATTTTCAAAGTTTTGGTCCTTATCCCCATTATTTTTACAATTATGGTTACACTTTCATACCCTTTCTTATAGACTGACAAAGCCCTGTTCATACAGGACATCAAACAGTCTTTAGGGATTGGACTTGGAAGACAAAGCTAGGCCAATCAACAGAAAAAAGCACCATCATAAGTTGTAAAGTTAAATTCTAGGTAAGTACTCTGTACCTGTCAGGGCTGAAGGCCAATAAGAAGGTAGACCGTGGGCTATCTGGAAGTTCCACTCTCTGGGAGACCAAAAGAAAAAGAAAAAAAACAAAAAACAGTTAGTTAACGTATATGATACGCCATGGTACACCCTATCTCAAAACCAAATGAACCATTCTAGACTAGTATTCATTGTGTTGTTGTAATATGCCCTGGAGTCAGTTCCAACTCATAGCGACCCTGTACAGGGTTTTCGAGACTAGTATTGTATAGGCTTAAAAACTAGAGGCAATAATTAAGCTAGAAATTGAGAGACACAAATCTAATTTAACTTCAAGAAAAAAACATTTCTAGGCCATAAATTCATTCTACGTTAGAGATATAAAATCTCCCCGACTCTTAACCATTATCCCATGCTAAGCCCTATTCTACCATCATCCCTATATCCTATGTCAAAACTATTCACTTTGCTTACCTTGCCCTCCCATTTCATCCATCGGGTTTTATCTTCCACCAGCTCCTGCAGAAGCCGCTGAGCTCCCAAAGCCCGAGCGCCCCGTTCTCGCCCCCATAGTATCCGGACAGCATTCTTCTCTGGGACAACCTTCATGGCGCTCAGTGGCCACCGTCACTCTAGAAACAGGAACTGAAGGAGCAAGCAATAGCTCCACACACTCTGAAGCAGCTACAATGAGGCCATTCAGGTCCTTGTAAGTTGTCTTCATGGAACTCTAAGAAATGGAAGAGAATACTGTCAAAGAACACTCTTTGACAAAGGCAACAACATAAAAGAATTGTACCTTAAGCACTTGTTGTTAAGTGGCGTAAAGTCAGTTCTGACTCACAGAGACCCTGGACAAGGTTCCCAAGGAACGGCTAGTAGGTTTCAACTGCCAACATGGTGGCTAGCAGTTTAGTGGTTATCTTACAGTGCCGCACCTGGATGCCTCAGTTTTTAGATAGCAATGTCTATTCGATTTCCTAGGAAGAGCACTTAACAACAACAACCACCTAAAATCCAGTGTGCAACACAATAACAACTACTGCTAGTTCTAGTTCCAGAACAGATGATAGAAGGAGGAAAAAAGAACATTTTCCGGTCCTTTTTCTCATTCGCCACAAGCCTAAAGGACATAAAACTGTATCACAAAATAAAATTCCAATAAAATGTCAAAGAGCAACATGCAACCAAGAATACATTATGGTTCCTGCATACAATGGAATAAACAGCCTGACAAAATGGTGTTTCAAAAGAATGTCTACATATGTACAATGCAATAGTCACTGCAGTCTTGTTTCAACTCTATCATCAAAAAATTTTATTATACAGAAAAGTTGAAAAAATCGTCCAATTAAACACTCATTACTCACCACCTAGCCTCAAGAATTGTTCAAATTTTGTCCAATTTGCTTTATCTATATCAAGGGTGGGGAAGATCTGGCCCTCAGGCCATGTAAGGCATGAGAAACTATTTGGTCTGGCCCTGCCAAGGCAACTGTAGCCATCACATTGTTGTTGTTGTTAAGTGCCATCGAGTCAGTTCTGATTCATAGCAACCCTTTGCAAGATAGATTTCCAAGAAGCAGCTGGTGGGTTTGAACTACTGACCCTCTGGTTCAAAATCTAGTGCTTAACCTACAGTACATCACATTATTGTAGTTAAGTGATGTTGAGTCGATTCTGATCCATAGCGACCCTGTATAGGGTTTTCGAGGAACAGATGGTGAGCTTGAAACGCCGATATTGCAGTTCAAACAGCTTTGCAGTCAGGCGCATTAACCCACAACGCCACATCAGGGGCGAGTTAATGAAATGTTTTACCAAATATAATAGTAAATAGTAAAGTAAATTCCACCCACTCCTCTGTCAGTTTGTCATACTGTGGTGGCTTGTGGGTTATTGTGATTCTGACAGCTATGCCTCGGGAATTTTAAATACCAGCAGGGTCACCCATTGTTGACAGGATACAGGTGAGCTTCCAGACCAAAACAGAAAAGGAGGAAAGAATGATGAACTACTTTGAATATTTAGTCACTGAAAACCTTATGAATAGCAGAGAAACACTGTCAGATACAGCCAGAAAATGAGCCCCTCAGATTGGAAGGCACTAAAAATGCGACTGGGGAAGAGCTGCCTTCTCAAAGTAAAGTTAATCATGATGATGCAAATGGAGTAAAGCCCAAGGGAAAAAAGCCCGCGTGACCTTCATGTGCTGATGGGCCACAACTCAAAATGAACACAAAGAGCTGTAAACATCCACTGAAAATTGTAACATGGAATGAACGAAGTATGAATCTGGAAAAACTGGAAATTGTCAAAAATGAAATGGAACACATAAACATCGATATCTTAGGCATTAGTGAGCTGAAATGGACTGGTATTGGCCATTTTGAATCTGACGACCACATGGTTTACTATGCCGGGAATAACAAATTGAAGAGGAATGGTGTTGCATTCATTGTCAAAAAGAATATATCCAGATCAGTCATGTGGTTCAAGGCTGTCTGATAGGATAATATTCATGCACCTACAGGGTCGCTATGAGACGGAACTGACTACAAGGTACATAACCACCAACAACCACAGGGAAGCCCAGTTAATGCCACTATTATTCAAATTTATGCACCAACCACTAAAGCCAGTGAGGAAGAAGTAGAAGAATTCTACCAACTTCGTCAATCTGAAATCGATGAAACATGCAATCAAGATGTATTGATCATTACTGGTGACTGGAATGCAAAGGTTGGGAACAAAGAGGAAGTATCAGTAGTTGGAAAATATGGTCTTGGTGATAGAAATGATGCTGGAGAACACATGATAGAATTCTGCAAAACCAATGATTTGTTCGTTTCAAAGAACAAATTATTAGACAGCATAAGAGACGACTATATACATGGACCTCACCAGATGGAATACTTAGAAATCAAATTGACTACATCTGCAGAAAGAGATAATGGAAAATATCATCAGTCCAAACAAAGCCGGGACAGACTGGAACAGACCATCAATTACTCATATGCAAATTACAACTGAAACTGAAGAAACTGAAAACAAGTCCACGAGGGCCAAAATAAGACCTTGAATATATCCCACCTGAATTTAGAGATCATCTGAAGAACAGATTTGATACATTAAACACTAAAAACTGAAGACCAGAAGAGTTGTGGGATGACATCAAGAATATCATACAGGAAGAATGCAAAAAGGCATTGAGAAGACAAGAAGGAAAAGGTAAAAATGGATGTCAGAAGAGACACTGAAACTTGCTCTGCAGCATAAAGATGCTAAAGCAAATGGAAGAAATGAGGAAGTACAACAGCTGAACAGAAAATTTCAAAGACCAGCTCAAGAAGATAAAGCCAAATATTACAACAAAATGTGAAAAGATCTGGAATCAAAAAACCAAAAAGGAAGAACACGATCAGCATTTCTTGAGCTGGGGGAACTGAAGAAAACATTCAAGCCTCGATTTTCATTATTGAAAGATTCTCTGGGAAGACGGAAGATCAGGTGGAAGTGCAGTGACGAGCTCTGCAGGAAACAACACAGAATACAGGACTAAGAAGGCTCAGAGGATGGTCCCAGAACTCTGAACTACATATAAAGGAGTATTTGGAAGGTTGGAAGACTTACAACTTGGAAGTTTGTGGCAGAAGCAAAAAATCCATTGCTTCCTGGTTCGGGACATCCAGCTGATCCAGGAGCCGCCCTTTTGTGTGGGGCCAAGGCGGGGAAAGGATCAGAGCAGCAAAGGACACCTGACAGCAGCAGAGATAGAGGTGTGGACATTTTTTTGTTGGTCCCTTGCTGTCTGCATACTTCCATTCTGGTAACTATAGGGGTGTCTGAACTAGTGGACACCCGAGCCCCACCCTCAGAGGGTTCTACAACGCATGTGCATAGTTTCCACTTAAAACCAAACGCCCGACAGGTACTCAGCCCAAGAGCAGGCCTTGAACTTTTCTTGTTTGCTTTTTGTTCTGTTTTTTAACACAGGAAAGAGAAGGGCAGGGCTGTAGGAGCTACAGATTCTTTTTTCTTTCTTTCTTTTTTTAATTTTTAAAGAATAATTTTTTTCTTCCTTCTTTTTCTTCTTTCGCTCCTCTCTCTTTTCTGTGAATAGAGACTGCAGTATCAGTCTTGTTTTCATTGTTGCTGTTTTTTAGTGTTTTGGTTTTTTTTTTTTTGCTGTTATATGTTCCCCCTTCTGCCTTTGGAGGACTTTTTGTCTCCCTATATTACA